AGGCTGGCAGGAAAGGGCAGTTGGGGGCATGATCAGGCTGTGTCAAGGGAGGGCAGTTGGGGGCGACCCGGCCTGCAGGGGAGGGCAGTCGGGGGTGACCAGGCCGGCAAGGGAGGGCAGTTAGGGGTGACCAGGCTGGCAGGGGAGGGCAGTTGGGGGCGACCGGGCTGGCAGGGGAGGGCAGTTGGGGGCGATCGGGCCGGCAGGGGAACAGTTAGGCATCGATCAGTTGGCAGGGGAGTGGTTAGGGGGTGATCAGGCTGGCAGGCAGAAGTGGTTAGGGGCAATCAGGCAGGCAGGCAGGCAGGCAGGCGAGCGGTTGGGAGCCAGCAGTCCCGGATTGTGAGAGGGATGTCCGACTGCCAGTTTAGGCTCGATCCCACAGGGGTCCCAGATTGGAGAGGGTTCAGGCTGGGCTGAGGGACACCCCCCCCCCCCCCAGTGCACAAATTTTGTGCACTGGGCCTCTAGAGAGAGAGAGAGAGAGAGAGAGAGAGAGAGAGAGAGAGAATATGTGTGTGTGTGTGTGTGTGTGTGTGTGTGTGTATGTATATATATGTATGTATATGTGTGTGTGTGTGTGTGTGTATATATATATATATATATATACACACACATACATATGTGTATGTATATACACATACATACATACATATATATAACCTCCTCTTGTGTTTTATGCCACAGTGCTGTTTTCATTTGCCACAAAAAGAAGATAGAATGGTAAAGACTAGTACCTGGTGTAGAGGTATATTGATCTGCTTAAGGAGAGCTTTCACTGCCATCTGGAGCTCGTAGAAGAACAATTGCATGGGGCAGTCAGAAGTATGATCCACACTTTCCATAGATTCAGAGCCAGAAAGCTTTTGGACCCATTCCCACTCCTCTCTGTATGTTGAGTCAAGTTAAAATTAGAAATATAACAAAAGTTCAGAACACAGCTCAGAACATTTTTAGTGTGTATGTCCAGAACCTGGGTAACCAATTTTTGGTGGTTAAAACTCAATGCAATTTATGCTATTTGAACTTTTAGACACCCAGATGGAGTTTAAAATGAGCTTTTTCTAAATTCAGCTTAGTTCACCTACCAAACCACGTCTACCTCAGGACAGCAGGTCTAATTTGTATCAGTTTTTAATTTTTGAGATTGGAGCTTTTAGATATTTTGTCTTTATTTTCCTTCCCCTGAAAATCCTATGTAAATTCTAAGACCTGCATTTTGCCACAGGGCCATCTGCAGGTTAATTCAGCAATTGAGTAACCACAGGACTCTGGTCCAACTCAGGCAACAAACCATGTGGCACATTTCAAACCTGGCCTGTGGTAATCGTGGGGACTATTTTGGTTTCTTTCCCCTTCCCAAAAGCTGGAGGAGAATCACAAACAGGAACACCAGACAATTCTAATAAAAGGAACCAGGGGACACACATCACTGCTTCCATCCCCCTTTCAAACAGTCATATGTGTCTTTATTCTGCATGCTCTAGAATCCTTCCTAATGAACTTTCCCAAATGTCATGCAGAAGGGAAGGGAAAGAATGGTGGTGGGAGGAAAGCACATCTGGTTTATTCCCCAAAGGCTCCTCTTCAAAAGGAGCTTGAAAAGATCAAGGTAAATGCCTCTTGGGTAACATTGTTTCCACAGGTATTTTAGTACAAGTCTCTAAACATATTCAGTTGGCTGGGTTTCTTCTTCTAACTCTTCAGGGAACAGTAATATGCTCTCAGGAGCAGGCTAGAGAGGAAAGGAAAGCCCTCCTCTCTGGGGATGGAAAGAGAGGAGGTGCTAACATATGTTCCCACTCTCATGAAACCCTCTGAGGGCTCTCCCCAATGGATTATACCAGCCTGGGCTCCAATCTGTGGGTCAGAAAATGAAATTGATTGTGACATAAGCTTTTCATCAGAAAACACTCTCTTTTAACCAACTACCCTCTTAGAAAAGTTTCTGTTTTTAAGATATCTGTTTCCTTTCAATTCCCACACTGGAAAAGACTATGGAAAATTTACCCTTTGTCCCAATAAAAGAAAAAAACTCAAAATTAAATCCCACTTCAGTCTGGGCATACTGTTGGCTTCATAAATAATTGAAATCTCTGAGAACCTGTTTGGGAACTGTTTCTTTCTCTCATCGCTGATATTGAAAACTAACTGAGGGGGTCTGACTAGCACAAGTATACACAAAACCTGAAGGAGAACATTGCTAAAATATCACCTGTAATCAAATTAGAAAATAAATTACTGGTAGGAATACCATAAAATATCTAACCGTTAATCAGCTTAATTGCTAAGGATGAGGGAGATGGAACTGGCAGAGTGAAGGATACTGGAATCTCCCATAAAAACGAAACTTGGAGTCTTGGCAAGGGGAAAGTAGATGGTATAACCACTAAAAGATAGAGTCTAAACCTTTAAGATACAAATCTAGAAAATGGATGAGAGTATTTGTTGCTGAGTCAACCTACAAATGAACGTTATAACCTCTTGGGAAAGGCTGAGATCACTAATGCTGATTGTAGAAGTGACCACCAGATGGCAGACTTAAAGTCTCGGTGTAGTTGATAAGTGAAAGAGAATATGGCAGCTACTGAGTTCTTTGAAGAGACCATCATCATCATCTTCATTGTGATCAAGTAGTATTTAATAAACATTGTGAGACACTAGAGTTAATCAACTTGCCAAAACTTTAAACGACCACATTAGAGTCACCTTTGGTTAAATAAATCCATAGGTATAACTAGAGTTTGGGTATCTAACTTGTACTCTGAAGCCTGAAAATCTCTGGAGAGTTCTTTTTCTTTTCTTATTTGTTTGTTCCTTTCCCTTTAAGCAATTTTTTTTTCATGTTAAGCACAATTCAGTAGACTTTCAGAGACCTGCTAGAGGGCTAGTTGTAAAGCTGAGCCAGATTACCAAGATTGGGCAACCTTCCCAAAACGAACAGGGCAGTTCACCCTGATGCCAAACCATAGAGGAGTTTCCAGAAGCTCAGGCCTTGTTACATCTTTTCTGCCCTAGAGAATCATAAAGAGTATAGAAAACTTACAAAGTCCCCAGGCTAGAGGGTTAGGGGTGGGGAGAATGATGGTGGAGGGGCAGCCCTTTATGATTAAGGGGAAATCAATGCTTTACTAGAACCCATTTCCATAGTCATATTAAAAAAATAATGACTTATTAGGGTGTGAAGAAAAGATATTAGAAATAGCAATGTTGAAAGTAAAGGACACCTACACATTAACCAGTTGTGCATCAGTGGTTGTACCATGAATAATATAGAGAGAAAAGTGAAAGGATAGTGCCCCCTTAGATGGGCTCACTTCTTTCACCAACACCACCAGCCCTCCTATCCTGATGTTAATATGCAGCTTGGTGTCTGCCCCCGTGTGCTGGCTCCTGAGGATATCTCACTATAGAAACACTCCTGGGAAGTTCATTTTCCTTCTGACACATCACACCATCACTCAAGCCATTGTTTCACCAGGAGGAAAATCCAAACTCCTCATAACTTACTTGGAAATGTTATGGTTTTCACGGATCTTAACATGGCAGAGAATGTTGGGCAACTTTTGAGTAACAAGAACTTTGATCTGATCCACAGAGCTACACAGCTTTAGATAACCCAGATATAATCCAGGAGAGAGACGTTGATGACTCCTTTTGTGATAGGAGAGAATATCCTGTAGGGTGAAAAAAACAAGCAGAAACAAAAAAACTCCTTGAAAGGCGATCTCAAAACCTTTTTCTTTCTTAGGTGCAACATGTCATGAATTAAAGGTGCTATAGCTAAGAAATTAGGCGAAACACCTCAGATAACACCATGAAGGTTGGGGACAGACCATCTTACCTTCAGGAGACTTGTCTTCCAAGTCAGGTAACCAGTTATTAATATATTCTGCATGCTTATTTTCCTCAGATTTCTGAACAGGGGGAGGTGTGTGGGCTGTGATTAGCTATGGACAGGTGGTAGTGGAGGCAGGTACTAAAGAAAACTAGAATTTATAATCTCTGTCCTTGGAGGGCTTATTGTATAGCTGGGGAAACAGAAATTTACAAGTGTAAATGCTGATAAAGCTGTACAGGAAGCCTCATTATTTCAGGATAATTGGTATCAGGAAAAGTCTATTTTAAATGACACCACTTAAAATAGGATAAAACTTTTATAGTAGTAGAAGAAAAGATTTAATTGATTCATTATCTTGAGAAATGAAACAATGTAATACAATAGATTTATTTATCTTATTAAAATTTAAATTGTAGTTATATGTATTGACTAATTCTGAAAATGAAGAGAGAATCAAGTATTGGTTCTTTTTTTTGGCATAACTTTTTTAGACTAAATTGTATGATATGCTGTTTGAAATTGTATGAAATGCTGTTTCTTATATTTGACTTTCACAATGAAGAGGATAGTTTTTTCAAGAGTTTGTGAAAGTTTCATATTTTTTTCCCCTGGCATTTAAAAAATACTTGATATTTATGTCATTCTCTTATAAAATACTTGTTCCTTTTATGTTCTTCAATTGTTAACTGGTCTATTGCTGAATTGTAACTGGCTTTGCATGTGATTTGGTTAGTTTTCCACATCATCTTCATCAGCTTCACAAAATTCTTTACTTTTACAAAATTTAAAATTTACCTTATAATAGATTTGCATTGTATTGTCACAACACAATATTCCACAGGCAGCAGAGATTGAATGAAGTTGTTGGTTTAACAGGAAGTGCCAGCCTGTTATAGCACAGAGGGATGTTTGAGTCAAGTCTTGTTTTATATGTTGTAAGTTCTCTAGTGAACTATTTAGGGTGTGACTTTAGCTTCCCTATATGACTGCAATAACTCAGATAACGAATAATTGGAAATACAGATTCCCCCATTTCAGTAGGTATGACTTTTTAAACATTTGGGCAGCATGGGAGTTAAACAGTGTTAACAGTGATGAGTCAGGTAACTGATTATAAAGATTCCTATAGGCCAGAGTTTAGTCTGATTTTCAAAGTGAGTAAAAAAAGAGGGAATCATCGCTACCACTAAATGTAGGGAAGGTGAAAAGGAAAAGGAAAACAAACATTATACTTGCATAAAATTTTATATGGAACAGAGAGGTATTGAAGTCTCCCTTGGCCACTAAGAAGGAGTAATCTCTCCTCTGTAGAATTAACGATTTGCAACACCTAATATATGCTATTGTGTATTGTCTCCTTTGTTCCATCCTCTACCAAACATACTGAATTCCAGGCTCTACAGGAAACATTGGGGTTTCAGGTAACTTGCTATGAGCACTACTTTTGAAGAGGTCAAGAAGATGAGTAAACAAATTACCACTATATACTGAAATCAATTTTATAATAGAGACAGTGTTGGCATACAGATGAAGGAGTACTTAGCTTATATTTTTCTTCTTTTATGCTCTTTTTTTGAACTAGACTATGAAATTAGTGGTGTTGCTGTGTTTTTTATTGCTTTGTTTCCTTGGTACCCAATGCTAATTCTATATATAATAGATACTCAACATGTGGAAATCAGGACAGTTTCCTAAAACAGAACAGAGAATAGCAGAAGAGGAACAAAATAAAAATGGCCACAGCTGGGGTCATAAATGGTCAAATAACTAGCGAGTACAGAAAAGGAAAAAGCTAAGTAATTTTTAAGATATTTGGTGAAAAAGACTAGAAAGAAATTTGATTTCATGATCAAGAAGGAAGGCATTCTTATTAATATTAGGAGTTCCATACAGCTTGACTTTTTAATGTCTTTTATCCTGTGTCAGAACAGATCACAGGTGAGTAGTTGACTAGAGGAGCTTCAGTCAAGGTGAAATTTTAAGAAATGAATAGGTAATCAAAGAGAGAAATGGTTAATGAGAGGAGGAAGAATGGAAGTGTTCAGATGGATAGAATTTGATGATATGCACCCTAGGGGGGTACTTGCTGAACAAGCAGATGTGGCCACAAACTCACAGGTCAATATTTTTGAGAAGTGATGGACAACTAGAAAGTCCCTAAAGACTAGAAAAGGGCAAATATGCCTATCTTTCAAACAGGAAGGGGAGAAGCACAGGATGACCCTAGTAATTAAAGACTGCCAACTTATTGATCTTTGGGAGAAATGAAAAAGAACCATCTAACAATCAATTTGCAGCCAGTCAGGAAATCCTGAGACACTGGATCAGGGAGAAGTCTCCAGTGGAATCTATTTCACTAGATAATCTGTGAAAAGAAGAGTCTTTACTGTATTACTTTAATAAGCTAAATATCTGAGGTGAAGATTTGTGAATGATAGAAATGGTGTGGGAATAGTAGACATTTTGAGTGATGGACCAATAAAGACTGGCCCTGAGGGCCACTCTTTTCAGCTTATTTATTGACATTCCAGATAAAGAAATAAAAAATGTGTATCAAATTTGTGGGTCCCAAGTTTAGTGTGGTTTGGATTTTCTGGAAAATAGTAATAAAGCTCTGAATGACCCTGTGCATTGGAAAAATAAGCTTATCATAATTAGGGTTTAAACTTAATAAGAAAATGTGCTTGTAAAGACCCAAACCCCAGTACAAGTATAGGATGGGTATGAGTATAAGAGAAAAAACATGTGGGGGTCAGACTGACCACAGATAGAATGTGAGCTGGGAACATACTGTGGTTATGTAAAAGCCAACACCATTCTGGGATGGAGTAATTTACTCTTTCATTCAATTTTTTAAAAAAACTGTTACTGAGCATCTACTATGTGTGTTCCTGTCTTTACATAGTCATTTTATCCTTCATTAGAATGTTTTGGGCCTAAGAAATGCATAGGAAGAGAAAGAAGCTATCCCATTCACATAATCTGAGGTACACTAGAAAGACCCCCTAAACCAAATCAAATGCCTTTGGGTTTACACATTGCCTCATTTGACCACTAAACCACATTTCTAGCCTATACTTCCACTACAGCCCTTTTTCATCTCTTATCTCCAGCCAAGATGGATCCTTTTTTCATTCCCCATGCATGCCCTAATCTCTTTTTTGATTTTTTTTCTTGTTGGTTCATGAATTCACTCATTCTACCAACTTTTATTGAGCACTTACTACATATAAGGCATTGTGCTAGGGCAGTGGTCGGCAAACTGCTGCTTGGCAAACCATGGCTCGCGAGCCACATGCGACTCTTTGGCCCTTTGAGTGTGGCTCTTCCACAAAATACTGACTTCTGTGCGTGGGCCACAAAGTTTCAACCGCACTGTACGTGCGCGCCCGCATGTGGTATTTTGTGGAAGAGCCACACTCAAGGGGCCAAAGAGCCGCATGTGGCTGGCGAGCCGCAGTTTGCCGACCACGGTTAGGGTATTAATGACATCAAGATGAATAAGACATATCCTTTCATGGAACTCACATTTCAGTATGTGAGAACTACATGTAAGCAAGTTTTTCTAACCCAGTGTGATAAGGGCCATAAGAAAAATGTGTAAGAGTCCTTGTGGACACAAGGGAGGGTGAAGATTGACTTTTCTAGCTTCTGCCTCATTTCTTTTACCATGCTCTGTATTTAATTCTATTTATCTCCCTTCTCCCTCCTACCTTTCCTCTCCTCCACCTTTTTCATTCCCCTTCTCCCTCCATCTTTCCCTCCCCCATCTCTTTCTCTTTTTTTCTCCACCTGGTGAACTTAACTTACCCTTCATGGCTCAGCCAACTGTCACCTCTTCTACAACGCCTTCCCTGATATTTCCAGGTAGAATTAATAGCTGCTTTGTCTGTGTTTCCATAGTACGCTGTTTGTGCTGCTATCAGGCTCTGGTTTAATTCTGCCTTGTATTACCTTGATTTGTTTACAAGTCTGTCTGTCTCCCCTGACTGAACTCCTTGAGACCAGGGACCTTGACTTATTCATTTGTTTTTTCTATAGCACCTAGAAGAGTTCCTGGCACCTACTAGGTGCTGAAAAAATGTTTATTAAATATGAAGTGAGAGGCCAAGAGGGAGTGGGGTCTGGGGCAGGGCCTCTGGGAGAGAATATGCTGTGCTGGTGCAGTAACTACGAAGAGTTATATATCCAACTGCTCTTCATTGATCAGATAGCCTAAGAGCTTGTTAGAAGAATGATATATAGTTACTTTTCCAATAACCACAAGGTTTTTGTTTAGTTGGATAGGGGATGGAAGCAGAATTGTCCAGGGATAGCAGAACTCATAAAATGGTGGCTTGTGGTCTTTGTGGGCCAGCCCATGATCATTGGACTACAAAGAATTTAAATTTTCTGAATTATTTTTTTAACTTTTAAAAATAAAGAGATTTTATTGAAAACTCTGAACTTTCAGCTTTTCTTTAAAAATTGGAAAACATTTCAGCATTGGGACTACTTTCCTCCACTGCAATTAGCTGAGGCTGAATAAGGCTGTTCTTTAAATGATCTCAAGATTACTATAATCTCTGTTACTTCTATACTATTTTTTCATTGAGATATAATTCACATACCATAAAATTCAACATTCTAATGTGTGAAATTCAGTGGTATTACTATATTCACAAGTTTGTGCAGCTATCACCACTATATAATTTTAGACCATTTTCATCACTTAAAAAATACACAACAACTTTGCTGTCATTCCAATCCTGTCACTCCTTCACCTGTCCCTGGAACCACAGATACACTTTTATGAATTTGTCTATTCTGGACATCTTATATAAATGGAATCATTCAGTATGTGGCATTTCATGTTGGCTTCTTTCACTTAGCGTAATGCTTTTAGACTTCATTCCTGTCATAGCATGGGTCAGTACTTCATTAATTTTTATGGCTGAGTAATATTCCATTCGATGGATATGCTGCTTTTATTTATTCATTCATTAATTGTTGAGCATTTGGCTACTGTGAATAATTCTGTTGTAGACATCAGTGAACAAGTATATGTGTGAAGTCAATTGTTTCTTATATCCAGCCCACCTGGCTCATTTCCATTAGTTTCCTAATTCCAGCAGTTTTTGATCCCCATGTTAGAGGCTGCTTGGAATAGGAATGAGCTAGAAAAAAAAGCAAAAAAAAGGCAGACAAGATAGCAGGTCCTGGGCATCTCAGGTATAAGAAGATATTGAGTCCCTGGAGTTAAAAAGGAATGCCTAAGAGAAGGAAAGCAGAGATGGGAGGAGATAGAAGACAGGTTTCATTGTAGCTTTTCTAGGATCAAACTTTTTAAAAAGGATCCAGAGAAAGGGAGGGTGAGGGTGTGTAAAGCAGCATGGTAGCATGGGAACACCAGCCTAGGAGTCAGAAGACGTCAGCCTTAGTCCCTTCTATGCTGCTTTTTGGCTGATATGACTCTGGCCAGTTATTTTTCTGAAATCCATAGCTTGATTTATGAATTGGCCACAATAAAATTACCCACTCAACCTCATTGGGTTTTTGTGAGGATTAAATGATATCATAGATGTGACAAAGTGTTATAAACTGAAAGTATAGTACAAATGAGAGATAAATATTCAGAGAAAACTTCACCTGTGAGGCTTTCAGTTATTGAAGTGGCTCCTGAAGACCATGGTCAGAGTAACTCAGCACCTGAGAGGGACCTCCCTATTGGAAATGCTCTCATTGTCAGTTTGTTCAGAGGGACACTAGCTTGTTTGTAATGACTCTCTTCCTTTCCAGGAAAGTATGGGAAGGATTTCTCTCTCTCTCCAAAATATATGAGAGAGGCCTGTTATAAAGCCTGGGACTTGAGAAGGTTGGGCATTTGAGAGGGGTGGACCTGAAGTTTCCCTGGGGCACTAGGAATTAGCAGATTAGTTATGGGCCCAGACTTTGTTGAAGCCTGTATCTGTTTTTGAAATCCCCACTGTGGATCATACAGCCTTTACACAACTTTTCCTTAGTTCTTATGAAAAAGTAGAGGAAGGGAGAAAATGCTCGAGGGATGATTGAACCAGTGCTTGGGGTCCCCTGGGACAGTAAGGATGAGGAGATCGACTAGGTGTGCCCTAAGGAGAGCCTAGCATTACTTGGATTTTTCTGAGTAGAGAAATAATAAAAATCACTAACATTTATTGAGCAGTCACTTTGTGCTACCCTTCTAATGTTTCATATGTTAACTCATTTACTTTTCATTAGAACCCTGTGAAGTAGGTTGTTGTTGTTGTTTTGTTTTGTTTCCCAAAGGAGGAACTACAAGAGGTGAGAAATAAGTAACTTGCCCTAGTCATCTATACTAATAAAAGGGTAATATGTTAATTAGGTTGGACGTCTTTCGGACGTCCATCCAGACAAAGCCACAGCAGCTGCAAGGCCCAGGGCTCAGGCAGCCGTGGGCTCAGGCAGCCTTGAGCCCTGGTGGCTGTGACACCCAGGGCTCATGGCAGCCATGAGCCTTGCCTGCGAGGCCCAAGGCTCAACGGCAGCCATGGGTTAAGGCAGCTGTGAGGCCTGGGGCTCACGGCAGCTGTGGGTTCAGGCAGCTGCGATCCCTGGCGGCTGCATGGCCTGGGGCTCACAGCAGCCGTGGGCTCAGGCAGCCGTGAGCCGTGGCAGCTGCGAGGCCCGGGGCTCAGGCAGCCGCCACAGCTGGCAGTGGCAGCAGCAGCGGGGTGATGGGGATGGTGCCTTCCCCTGATCAACCTGGTTGCCTCCCTCAGAGGGAGTGGGCCTAAGCCGTCAGTAGGACATCCCCTGAGGGCTCCCGGACTGTGAGAGGGGGCAAGCCGGGCTGAGGGAACCCTGGCCTCTAGTCTATATAATAAAGCATAAGCGACCATTATGGCGAAATGACCTAAACGACTAGTCACTGTGATGCGCACTGACCACCAGGGGGCAGACTCTCAAAGCAGGAGCTGCCCCCTGGTGGTCAGGATGCTCCCACGGGGGAGCGCCTCTCAGCCAGAAGCTGGGCTCACAGCTGGCGAGGGCAGCGGGAGCCTCTCCCGCCTCCACAGCAGTGCTAAGGAGCAGCGAGCAGGCGGGCAGTAAGGAGCGAGGGGTCTGGACTGCAAGAGGGATGTCTGACTGCCAACAGGCAGACATACCCGAGGGGTCCTGGACTGCGAGAGGGCACAGGCCGGGCTGAGAGACCCTCCCAGTGCATGAATTTCATGCACCGGGCCTCTAGTATAACTAGAAAAGGAGTCAGGAATCATGCCCAGTCAGTCTGATTCCAAAATTGTGTCTCAGAATGTCATGTGATGTAGCAGAAAGAGGCCCAGGCTTCCAATCAGAAGGCCTGGTGGTCATCAGTCTACTGACCCTGAAAAAAGACAGTGGTTTGTGGCCCAGAATTGTGGGAATTACCTAGTCAGTTTTGGGCAACCACCACAGCCTATCTCTACTTTCATGTTGAATTGGTGGGGCCACCTCCTGACATATTTAATCTTAAATCTGGGAGTGATTGAATACCAGCCCTACTAGTTTTATCCCCCATTTCCTCTCCAGTGTAAGACCTATTTGGGAAGGGGGTGAAAGAGAAAAATAGAAGAGGAGAAAGGAGAGTGGGGGTGGGCGGGAATGACATCAAGCAGGAATGTGCCAGTCAGCGGGGGTAAATTTTCCACTTGGATCTGGGTGGAAACCTGATCTTGCCTCTATTTTTGGTCTCCTTCTCTAACAACCTTTCGCCAGATTGGAATTTTTCTGCACCTGTAACACATTTTTAATGTAATAAGTCTAGGAGAAACCAGGTATTATATCACGCTGGGGCCTGTGCTGTTTCTAGGAGGGAAGGTAGCCCAGACCCCAGTTTATCCCTATAGGGGATTAGTGTATTAGTCACCCTGTAAAAGCTCAATTTATTATGATTTTTAAAATGTTTCTTTTAGCACTTGCTTATAAAAGGTGAAGAGGGGAGCCACTAATGTGTCTGTGTTCCCTGCCTCCACCTTTTCACACACACCCACCCTCTATCAATTTCATATGAACTCAGATTCCATAAAATCAAATCCAGAGGCTTTGACCAATTAGCTTACCTTTGCTTCTTTGGACTTTGTCCTTGTTTGGGCTGGTGCAACTAATGGAAAGGTGAGCTTACTGTCGTAGCCACCCCTCAGTGGGGAATGGAAATAAGTGGTCTTAGCTGTTTAGGGTGATCATAGGGCACTAGTGGGCCAAGGCTTGGATTTGGCTTGTTAGTATGGGATTGAGCCCTTTATTTCTCCATTACTACAGATTGGCTTTCTTGTGAATATACTAGTATGTCATGGGTTGCATAGGGCTCAAGGTGGATGTTTCTGCCAGCTTTGCCACCTAACTGGACAGTTCTATAGAACTCGTCCCCGTCACTAGATTTAAATAAAGAAAGCAAGAAAAAGACAGCTTGAAACCCAAATTCACATAAGAACATGTGAGGCAGTTTGGTGGCATGCATGGAGAGAGCGTTGGACTCGAGCAGATGTGGGAGTGTATCCTGGTTCTGCCATCCTGGTTAAGAGTCTGATCTAAGCTGCTTGAATTTGAATTTTGGTGGTATTCAGTTCTCAGGCAAGTCTCTCATCTTTCGTTTTATCTCCCATTCCCCACTCACTGAAATCCTACCTCCTGCCCTGGAATGTGATATAATGTAGCGGAGAGAAGCCTGCTTACAATCCGAAGATCTAAGTTCAAGTACTGGCTCTGTCCTTTTCTAGCTGTGTGCTCAGTGGCAAATCCAAGTTTGGTGGTGCTTGAACCTAATGCAATCTTGGGTTCTTTCCTTAAGGTAAAGAATTCACAATTATGAATGTGAAATTGTTAGGATTTCTGCCAGGGCCTTGAAGGGGCTTGTGCAGGTGAAGAGCTGAATGATGCAAAAATCTTCATTAGCTTCACTAAATCTGCCTCTGTCACATCATATCATCGAGCCTCAGTTATTTCATGCCTAAAATGGATTTAAACATGGATGTCTGTCTTGAGGGAGTAGTTTAAGGAACAAGCAAGAGTAAATATTATGAGTGTTTTTGTCCCAAGTGATACATACATGCACACACACACACAAATACATATATAGTTTAGAAATGTATTATTATTGTAGTACATTCAGTTATTGGTTTAATGTTTTGATTATACTATCTGTAGATCCCTGCTCAAATATTTGTCTCATTGTTTCTCATTGGTTCATTGGGTCAGGGGCATTCTCAAGGTGCCAATACTTGAATTCCAGATTGGGAAAGTGTTAAATAAAATAAAAACAAGCTTCTGAATCTTTCCAATGTGTGGAATATAAACCATGACATGTCTCTGGACCTCTCCACTTCATCATTGCATATGTAAGTGGATTTTGGTGTATTTCATTAGAGCCTCAATAATTGTGTTTGGAACTTTAAATATATTAGGAAATTGAAAAGACTACATACCTGGATGGTTATCAGTAAAATGTCTAAAGCTGTTGGCTCCTCAGGTGTTGACAGAGACTTCCTCTGGCTTTGCAGCTTTGAGATCTGCATCCATTTGCCATTAAAAAATGAATAGAGCATCTCCACCTCTCTGATGGTGACTATCAGGATGTTTCCATGCCGGTCTTTAATGGGCTCATAGTAAACTCTTCCCAAATTGTGTGTTCCAAGTAAATTCTAGAAGCAAACAAATTTCTGGTAGCTTATGTGATGTACAAACAAAGCAACATAACTGCAACAAAAGTCACTAAATAATTATCTGATGTTTCTGAGAAGCTGTGTGTTTTTTTAGCAGACTTAATCCTAGAAAATGTGGCATCATAGAAATGTACTTAACAGAAGCTCAAAGAAAATGTCTTCACCCATAAGCCTGCAAAGATTATAGCAAGATACACAAAAATTATGTTTTTTAAGCAAATTCAGTATCTGTAAATATCTCTTACCCACATAGACACACCAGCACATAAACCTCAGTCACTGGCACTTGAAGAGAAACCCAGATGTTTTAAAGAAAAATGCCTGATATTTCAAGTATGCTGCTTGTGGAGTTTTCAAGCGATCTACAGTACACTGGTGAGAAGTGGGGTTGTTTAAAATGAAGAAGTGAATTGACAATGTAGCACATTGTACAGGTCCCAAATGACTGCACATTCCCTTCAAGATACTTTAATTGGGAGATTGGCCTGGTTTAACTTACCTGCATTTCAGGGAGTTCTGTTTATTTAAAACTTTGTTAAAATTGTTCATGCGCTAGGTCAACTGTGGCAGACAATGCTTTCAGAAAGGTAGGAAGGGAAGGATGCTGCATTAAACATGGAAGGGCCCAGGTAGATGTTATTAAAATAAACTGTCACAAATATGAGGGTTTGAAGAGCACTGAGAGGAATAGAATAAAATATCCTTTTACTTTGAATATCTATGGTTTTTAAAAATTATAAACCATCTCAGAACTCCTAGCTGTTATTTTTGTGAGCTTACATAAACACTGATGAGATAACCTGTTAGCCAGAGAGCAGTAGTAGAACTGGAATTTGTAAAAGTAACAAGGATGACCTAAAAATGAATGAGCCAACTACTCAGTATCCACATCTACCAAAATATTGGGATATTCCCTAATAGGTAGGGACTGTGTTTTAATTTTTTTTTTAATTCACAAGGATAGGACACATGAAGAAATTCCACAAATAATTATTGACATTTGGAAATTGAGTTGGCAGGATTACTATTTTTTAACAACGGCCTAATCACTTAGATTATTCTTGTTCAATAATTGACTTCCAGATCACAGAGAAGTAACTGGGTAAGGCAGTGGTTCTCAACCTGTGGGTTGCGACCCCTTTGGTGGTCGAACGACCCTTTCACAGGGGTCGCCTAAGACCATCCTGCATATCAGATATTTACATTACGATTCATAACAGCAACATTACAGTTATGAGGTAGCAACGAAAATAATTTTATGGTTGGGTCACAACATGAGGAACTGTATTTAAAGGGCCAGAAGGTTGAGAACCACTGGGGTAAGGCTTTTTAAGCCTGTCCTATGTAGTAGTTTGCTGCAAAGTAATACTGGCCAACAGAAGTGGTATGCTGGTAAACTGTCTATATAAAAAATAACTGATTTATAGGATATGCCAATTTCTGTGGTGTAAATACTCCCACCATAAGCTGATTTCAAGCTTCTAGGGTTTGATAACAGGCTTTCAAAATTCCTGAATATTTAACAGTTGGCTTTCCTAAGCCAGTGCAGGTTGGCTCCAGCACACCACTGCTATTAAGCCTTTAGTTATACTGGTGTTGAATTTCAGGGCTGGCTGCTGTTCGTTAACTCTTAGACTTCTGAAAAATTGTTACTCTCTTTGGCCCTGATTTTCATCATCTAATATTAAGGATCCTTACAGCTCAAATATCCCTTATCCTAATCCTTACTTTATAGAGTTTTGGGGGGATTACATGAGAAAATATTTTGTATACTCTCAAGTTTGTAAATGTTCTTTACTGCTCTAATTGGAATCCCACCCTGGCTTACATTTAATCATTTTCAAGGCTCAGTCCATGTTTCACCATCTCTGAAAGAACTTTCCCAACTCTCTCAAGTAGAATTTACCATCTCCTCTTTTGTCCCCTATTGTTTCCTGTACAAACTTGTGTCTTAGCCTGACTGTGGTCTCCTTGCATATTGATATACTAGTGGCCTGGTGCACGAAACTCATGCACATTAAAAGGGAATTAATTAGAGGAAATATTTTAATATTGCTATTTGCCCTTTCTCTATAATAGAAGTGTCAGAGATGAAACAAAATTAGTAAAATGTATATGAAAATCTCCCTCCTGTCAGAATCTGGGGCGCGCTGCGGGACCCAGAGTCAAGTCCCCGCCCACCCGCGTGCGCCTTGAAATCATGTGAGACCCAGACCCAGCCGGCCCCACCCCCATCAAGCCCCGCAGGGTAGGGGGCACAGCCTCAGGTCCCCCAGCCAGGTGCTGGGCAGGGGGTACAGCCTCAGGTCCCCTGTCAAGCCCCACTGGGCAGGGGGCGCAGCCTCAGTTCCCCTGTCAAGCCATGCTGGGCGGGGGGTGCGGCCTCAGGTCATCCGGCGCAGCCTCAGGTCCCCCGGCCCAGTGCCAGGGCGAGGAGCACGGCTTCAGGTCTCCCTGCCCCGGCGCCGGGGTAGGGGGCATGGCCTCAGGACCCCGGCCCCAGGTCCCCCGGCACAAGGACCATTTGCATATTAGCTCTTTATTATATAGGATATGTGTTTTGTCTCTGTGTCTCGGGGTTCCTTGCACTGTGCCTGGCACGTCGTAAGAGCTCAATAACTTTTTGTTGACTGAATTAACATATTATCGTTAGGACACTGGAAAATACAACTTACTTTAAACCAAAGCTGCTGTGTAAACATTGAATGAGATGGTCATTTTTTAAGCAGTTATTATCAGTGGTTCACTATTGGCTTTGGATGTGATGACTAATGGGGTAAATAAGAAAGCACTTTAAAAGTCTTCCTGAAATTCTTTATTGATATCAGATTGGGTTAGATAGCCAGCTATAGGGAGCAACCAACTTAAAAGTAGAATATCCTTGGGAAAATAAATTGCAACTATGTTCCAAGGGGGCAAATTTGAGGTTCTTTAGGACCTAAAGGATAAACAGACCACTTTAGTACCTGTCATGCAATAAACATTAGGAGATTTGGGAACCCTGATGATCCTAAAAGATAAAGAGGAATAAAAATCACTTGATGGCTCATAGGAATGCATCTTGGTTATAACCAGAATAAATCACAGGCCTGTCAATAGCCCTAGACAGATGCACAATATTTAGAGACCTTTAGTCAGACCTTCAACGGGAAGTTGAAGGAAGTCCAGAGTGGCGATATGAAGGCCTAAAAAAAATGAGTAAAATTTTGGGCAAACTTTCCTCCAGCTTGAAAAATGAAAAAGACATAGTTTGAATAAATTGTTACCTGACTTTTACTCACACTCATTTCTAAAAGCGGTGAAGGAGAACAGTTTAATGTAATCCAATCTACAGTGTCAGATTATTACTATATTTTGAGGATAAGTAGTCTGGACACCTCTTAATGTAAGAGCAATGTACACTTCTGCCTCTTGGGGCCTCTGTCATTTTCCTAAGAGTAGGAAAAACAATGTGGGGTCATAGCCACTTACAAGCTTTCTCTTTTATTTTTTAAGTCCAAATACTGGAAGATACTTGTTTCTCCTCTTGCCTAGGTAATATTAATCAAATTAAAGTCACTTCTAAATAGGTTCCAAATGATGCAGAATAGAATTTTACTTTTTAAAGAAAAATTATAATGTGGATTAATATCTTCTATTTGAAATTTTTGTCTGCTTTTGTAAATGAACACATAATAAGATGATGAAGTATTAGAAAGAATGCAGACTTTGGAGTTATGTAGATTTGTATTTGTATCCATACTTTGCTACTTCCTATTTGTGTGATGTTAGGCAAGTTATTTAACCTTCCCAGCCCACAGTTTTATCATCTGTTAAACTAATATCAATAATAGTACTTTCTCATCAGGGTGTGATGAAGATTGAATGAGATATAGTTTATAAAACTCTTAGCACAGTGCCTGTCATCTGTTCTGTTAAATAAACGAAAGCTGTTGTTTCATGATTATTATTACTAGAGGCCCAGTGGACGAATTTGTGCATGGGTGGGGTCTCTCGGCCTGGCCGGCGATTGGGGCCTATCAAGGCAGAGAGAGATTGGCCAGGGGGAAGGGCCATGGGAGGTTGGCCAGCTGGCCAGGGGGAGGGGCCGAGGGAGGTTGGCTGGCCACCTTGATCAGGGCTGATGGGGCTGGCCAGTTTGGAGGAGGGACTGCGAGAGGTTGGCCAGCCATGGGAGGTTGGCTGGCTGCGGGAGATTGGCTGTGGGAGCGCACTGACCACCAGGGGTCAGCTCCTGCATTGAGCGTCTGCCCTTGGTGGTCAGTGCGTGTTGTAGTGAATGGTCATTCAGTTGTTTGGTCATTCAGTTGTTAGGTCGTTTGGTAGCTTAGGCTTTTATATATATATATAGATTATGTAGTAAAGGATCTCACTATAGAGCAGAAACTGGAAAACAAGGCAAGAATGCATAGTGGTTGGTAGGCACTGTGATGAAGACAAGTCAGGGTGTTATGGAAACAGAGGATGGGAAGAAAGATGGTGATGAAGACCTTTGTGTGCCTTGATAAAATGGGCCATTCTTTTTTTTTTTAAATTTTGTTTTATTGCTTAAAGTATTACAAAGAGTATTACATATGTCTCCCCCCCCCCTTGACATTCCCCTGGCCTCCCCTACCCCCCAGTGTCTTATGTCCATTGGTTATGCTTATATGCATGCATACAAGTCCTTTGGTTGATCTCTTATCCCCGCTCCCGCCCCCCAACCCTCCCCAGCCTTCCCGCTGTAGTTTGACTGTCTGTTCGATGCTGCTCTGCCTCTGTATCTATTTTTGTTCATCAGTTTATAATGGTCTTTATTATCCATAAATGAGTGAGATCATGTGGTATTTTTCTTTCATTGACTGGCTTATTTCACTTAGCATAATGCTGTCCAGTTCCATCCATGCTGTTGCAAATGGTAAGAATTCCTTCTTTTTTATAGCAGCATAGTATTCCATTGTGTAGATGTACCACAGTTTTCTAATTCATTCATCTGCTGATGGGCATTTAGGCTGTTTCCAGATCTTCGCTATGGTAAATTGTGCTGCTATGAACATAGGGATGCATATATCCTTTCTGATTGGTGTTTCTGGTTTCTTGGGATATATTCCTAGAAGTGGGATCACTGGGTCAAATGGGAGTTCCATTTTTAACTTTTTGAGGAAACTCCATACTGTCTTCTATAGTGGCTGCACCAGTCTGCATTCCCACCAGCAGTGCACAAGTGTTCCTTTTTCTCCACATCCTCTCCAGCACTTGTCGTTTGTGGATTTGTTGATGATAGCCAGTCTGACAGGTGTGAGATGGTACCTCATTGTTGTTTTGATTTGCATCTCTCGGATGATTAGTGACTTTGAGCATGTTTTCATATGTCTCTTGGCTTTCTGAATGTCCTCTTTTGAAAAGTGTCTATTTAGATCCTTTGCCCATTTTTTGATTGGATTGTTTATCTTCCTTTTGTTAAGTTGTATGAGTTCCCTATAAATGTTGGAGATTAAACCCTTATCGGTGATAACATTGGCAAATATGTTCTCCTATGCAGTGGGCTTTCTGGTTGTTTTGTTGATGGTTTCTTTTGCTGTGCAGAAGCTTTTTATTTTGATGTAGTCCCACTTGTTTATTTTCTCTTTAGTTTCCAATGCCCTAGGAGCAGTATCAGTGAAGAAATTGCTTTGGCATATGTCCGAGATTTTGTTGCCTTTGGATTCTTCTAGTATTTTTATGGTTTCCTGTCTTACGTTCAAGTCCTTTATCCATTTTGAGTTTATTTTTGTGTATGGTGTAAGTTGGTGGTCTAGTTTCATTTTTTTGCATGTATCTGTCCAATTTTCTCAACACCATTTATTGAAGAGACTGTCTTGACTCCATTGTATGTTCTTGCTTCCTTTGTCAAATATTAATTGAGCATATTGGTTCGGGTCGATTTCTGTGTTCTCTATTCTATTCCATTGATCTATATGTCTGTTCTTGTGCCAGTACCAGGCAGTTTTGAGAACAGTGGCTTTGTAATACAGCTTGATATCTGGTATTGAGATCCCACCTACTTTGTTCTTCTTTCTCAGGATCGCTGCAGCTATTCGGGGTCTTTTTTTATTCCAGATGAATTTTTGGAGCGTTCGTTCTAGGTCTGTGAAATATGCCATTGGTATTTTAATGGGAAGTGCATTGAATTTATAGATTGCTTTGGGTAGTATGGACATTTTAATGATGTTGATTCTACCAATCCATGAACATGGTATGTTCTTCCATCTGTTTATGTCTTCCTCTATCACTTTTTTCAATGTCCTGTAGCTTTCTGAGTAGAGGTCTTTTGCCTCTTTAGTTAAATTTATTCCTAGGTAGCTTAATTTTTTTGGTGTGATGGTAAATGGGATTAAAATGGGCCATTCTTGGAAGAGTGTGAGTAAGGGAATGGCATGGTCAGAATCTTTTGTCTATGGCTTATGCCAACCAAGCTATTTAATAATGCATTTTTACTTTCCTCAGAGCATTGTAAAAAAATGTTAGGTTAGTAAAGAGACATAAAATATTAAGTGAGCATCAGTTTCCCCCAATTTATTTTTCTTTCTCTTTTGAAAAGCTTTTCTATGCCTGTAACTGCCCCCTTTGTCCCCCCACCCCCTAAACAACAACAACAACAACAACAACAACAACAACAAATCAAGTGGCTTCAATATAGGTTGGAACAAAAGTAGTTTTATAGTTGTTCATATGGAATATAATATAATAATTAATAAATAATAGTACTAAATGGGAAGTGAGGAAGTAAGTGGAGAAGGAGTTTCAAGAACTTTGGGTCTAAGGAAGAGAAGAGAGTTTGGTAGTTGAAGGGGTATGTGGGGTTGAGGAAGGGATTTGAGGGGAGGTTAAACTGGAGAGACTTGATTTATCCTATATAATAAAGATGTAATATGCAAATGGTCGTTACGCTGTGAAGCGTAAGGACCGACTGCGTAATGACCAGATCATTATCAGGAGGAGGGTGGGGCAATCGAGCTACAAGTGGGCGGCGGAGAGCTACAGGAGGGGCAGGGCTGCAAGTTATGAGGGGGGGGCGGGGGAGAAGGGGCGCGGGGAGAGCTGCAGGAGGGCAGGGTAGTGGATGGAGAGCTACTGGAGGGCGGCAGCGAGCTACTGGTGAGCTACTGGTGCACGGATTCATGCGCAGGGCTAGTAGTGTTTAAATAAGAAGTCAGAGCACATTTGAGGGAGAAGCCTTTGGTAGGAGGAGTGAGACTATTTGTTGGAATAGGAAGGAAGAGAAAGTAGGGTCAATGGAAGGAAGCTTTTAAATTTGATGATGGAAAATAATTAATTCCCATTTATTAATGAATTATACAGTGAAGTCATCAGCTAATCTGGTAATGAGTGTGGGGAAGGTGAAGGGATGTGGGATAATGGAGACGGTTTTAAATAGTTGTTTTATAGTTTGGGAAAGTGAATTTAGTAGAGAAATAGAATGTGATCACTAGGTAACATATGTGGGAATTGTAGTAGTGAATTTAACATAAAACCAGTCAACTGTCCCCCCCGCCCCCACCTTTTTGGTGATTTTCTTCTATAGCAGTATACAACTATACTTCAGTATAGACATGTTGGATTCATCCAGACTTGGGATTTTTCCAAATAAATAATATGGAAGGAGACAGTGGCCAGAAATTTAGAATATTTTCAAGGGAGTGATTATGATGGGCCAAGGAATATAAGCTAGACAAAGAGGGAAATTCCTCAGAAGGCGGCTGATGCATTACGAAAAGTTGTGGGGCCAAGGAAATCCAAGAGCTATTGCAGTGGGAGTAGTTGAGTAGGGAACACTGACCATCACAGCTTCCCTCTAGTTCCTCAGCATCTAACTGCACTGGCTTGTGACGGTCTGATTCTTCCAGTGTTACTGATATCAGATGAAAGTGTTTTAGGAAGCCTTCAATAAACATAGAATCAAAGAGCTCCATTTGAAATCCTAAGGTTATTCAGTCTGTGATCCAAGCATGTCTGGGCTGTATGGTGGGCTAATGAGAGAGTCCATCCAATAAGGGCTCTGAGCCTCCTGGGAAAGAACTTTATCCTAATGAAGGAGCAGTTTGAGGTACAGTGAATTGGTCTAATTTAAGCTGATCAGTGATGAAAGGAAAGGAGTGCTTCACATTGAGCATAGTCATCATGGCCAAGCTCCAAGAACTTTTTCTTGAGTTGAAGGGGAAGATTCTGCAATCAAGAGAGTTGAAATGGAGAGCACTGTTTACTAAAATATCTGAGGCCAGTGAGGACACAAGGCAGTAAACCACTTATGTAATGGAACATAGCACGGAGCATTCTTAAAGGTAAGAGTTACTTTGCAGAATTATAATAGCAACACAATAATTATTATTGCAGGAAGTTGAATTATTGTGTGGGTCAAGAAATGAAGTTTCTGTAATTGCAGGTGGTGGTGGAGCTGTAGAATTTTTTTTGTTTTGTTATGACCCTATTTTTATGCCTTGGCTAGGATAGCCTGGCTAAACACAGCGTACATAGATTCCTGTTATGCATATTTCTGGGGTTGATGTAACTGATAGCTTTGTAGGTAGATGCCCATTACTGTTAAAGGCTCAGAGATCTCTTAAAGACCCCAGTTCCATGTAGCAGATGTTTTTCTGTTAGGAACCACAAATTCAGGGATTGTCAGAAAACAATGAGAGGAAAACCCAGAAGAGCTTGGTTAGAACACAAACTCTAGGAGGGACTCTGTAATCTACAAAGATTCTTGTAGGGATTAGAGACCTGATCTGATTAGGTTAGTACCATGGTCGGCAAACTGCGGCTCTTGAGCCACATGCGGCTCTTTGGCCCCTTGAGTGTGGCTCTTCCTAAGCCTTAGGAGTACCCTAATTAAGTTAATAACAATGTACCTACCTATATAGTTTAAGTTTAAAAAATTTGGCTCTCAAAAGAAATTTCAATCGTTGTACTGTTGATATTTGGCTCTGTTGACTAATGAGTTTGCCGACCACTGGGTTAGTAGTACAGACAGATGAATACATTCATGGTTATAAGTAAGCTTTTGTTTTGCTTTAAGTAAGCAAAAATGTATGCAAATACCTTTGTTTTACCAAAAGCATCAAGCCAAGAAACACCTTAAAATATCTCCTTAGTCTATTTCTCCATCTCCATACACTCATAAAGGCACGGGATGCCAGAGCAGCAATGGCTCTTCAGGTGATCTACTCAAACTCCTTTTATTTTGCAAGTGATAAAACTGAGACCTAGCAAGGAGAAATGAGTTGGCTTATTAATATCAAATCCAGAACTCAAGTCTTCTTACTCCTTGTTTGGGGGTCACTCTTAGACTCTTTAAGAGAGACCCCTGCTCCTCTTCCAAGAGACTGCTAAAGGCACAGGTTCCCTACATGAGCAGGTGTGCAGCAGCTCAAACTGAGAGTCCTTCATATGCTTCATAGGGCTCTGAAAAAGAGAGGATCTCACCATTTCCTTTCCGGGTCAGATTGGAATGGAATTGACCAAGTTTTTCTCAGATTTCTGTCGAGGTCTGGGTTGAAACCTGGCCCCTCACCTGTAGCTGGGCTGTTGCTGCGAGCATCTTCTGCCGAGTTTGCAGTACTGTGGATGAGGACATGGAGATAGGCACACTTTGCCTTAACCACCTTATATCTTCCCACATACAAGACAGCTGCAAAAGAAGTCACAAGGTCATATCATCATCCAAGCCAGTACATGATTTAGGTTGTGGCATCAAAGCACAGCAGGGAGAAGGAAACCTGACCCCTGATGTTTGTTCTCTAGTCCATTTGCAGATATGGGTGAAACAACTTTTTGATCTCTGTCCAATTGGAAAAAGATCTGAATGTTAATGAAACAGTCAGATCCACAGTTTAGTCTTTGCCAAACGATCCCATAACTCAGAATAGTGGAGACACAATCTGACAGGATGCAAGCTTCTTTGCTTTGAAAATGTAGTGTAGACACTGTTTTGGCATTTTGTATGACCTAGGGCATATCAGAACTGAAAGACCTTTTAGGAAATTTACTCCCACCCCAATACTTTGATCACTGGAGACCCCTTAACTAAGGTTTCAGAGATTTGTGTGCAGTAACATTGGTGCAAAGTGGGAGTAAATAAAATCAAACTCAATATACCTTCGTGAACCACAGAAAATCTTGTGTGATGGAACTGGTGTGAGAGTCATCTATTTCAACGATTGGTATTTGATCTTCATTGGTGACTAACATATTATCTTTGTAATAAAATATAACGGCTATGTAGAGTCCCCTAAAAAGAAAAGGCAAAATAAAAATTGTCCTCCACCATTTTCCTCTACCAAGCCTCAATCATGGTAAAAATTTTTTGGACATGAAAAGGATAATTTAAAATATATCTATGAGTGTATTCTTGCTAAGAATCACAAGTTCACTGATCAAAACTCAGAGAAATTACTATCTTGTTCAAATTCTCAGAAGAAAAATGAATTTCATATTCTTTTAAGAAATGTGATAGATTTATTAAAAATTAAAGTATGGTAAACATACAATATTATGAATTTCTAATATATAACATAATTATTCAATATTTATATACTTATGAAGTGATCACCATGATTTAAAAAAAAGAAAAACAAATCTTGTCATTTGCAACAACATGGATGGACCTAGAGGGTTATATGCTAAGTGAAATAAGTTAGAGAAGGACAAATACCGAATGATTTCACTTATATGTGGAATCTAATAAAGAAAAATGAACAAAACAAAACAGCAACAGACTCACAGAAAGAGATCACACTGATAGTTGCCAGAGGGGTGGCGGTAGGGTGGAAGGATGGCTGAAAAGGTGGAGGGAAATAAGAGGTATGAACTTCATATTCTTTTAATAACAAAAAGTAATTTCAACGTAGTTTCTACTCAGAACCAAAACCAGCTGATTCCTGAGAAGTTAAAACTTTCTGAAAAAACAAAAACAAAAAACAAACTATAGGACCCACCGTTTCAATGTCTTCACAAACTTGTTTGAGGAATGGAATAGGTGTTTTAGGCTCCTTGAGACTGACTGCTTGCGGCCTGTGGTTTGTAATTTTGAACTTTCTGGAACACAAAAAAATACAGTGTAAATTCCATTGGCAGAAAACACTCCCAGTACCTTCTTCCCACCTTCCTGCCTCCTACTCCCCTGTCTCCTCAGTGTTATCCTCAGTCTCATGTAGGGATTCAGCTCATTCATTCCTACAAGAAACTTTTGTATCTTGAGATGCCAGTGGTTAATTCAATGAACAGATCCTCAAAAATGTTGGCCATGAGTAACATAACTCCAGGGGAAACCACTGGGGTGTTTTGTTTATCCTCTCTGTATCAGCATTTTATTATAAGGTGGGATAGTCCACTAAATTTTTTTTCATTATACTAGTAAAATTAATATAGGTATATTACAGAAAATGTGGAGAATAGAAAATAAAAAACAAAATCCCACCCATATCATCCTGCCACTTTATTATAACCACTGCTAGCATTCTGGGAAGGTTTTTTTCCCAGCATATGTGAGGGTTACAAACATAGTTGTAGGCTTAGGTATGATTATTATCCTTATTCAGGAGAAAAATTGAGACAGAAAGGTTAAGTGAGTTGTCCAAGATAAAAAAACGCCAGTACCCAGAAAAACGGAGACATTCATTCACTGAATAAGTATTTGTTGGGACACTACTGTGTGCAAGGTTTTGTGGCTACCGTGGTGAGCAAATCACCCATTGCATCTGTTCAGCTCTTCTGTTTACAACCTGGAGTTCTCCCTGACAAAAGCAGTAGACTTCTTTGCAAACAGGGCTCTATGGAACTGAATGAGATGATCACTGATTCTAATTCCTATCTTCAATGTAATGAAGGGAAGCTGAGGTTGGGCCATCATCAAACTTTTGACACATCTGTCAGTGGGGATGAGAATATGGTCCATATTGGTGCTGTTAGACATGGAATCCTGGGTGATGGCCCATGGCGGAGGCCCAGTGTGATTCTGCCCATGATCCTATAGGAGCAGTTGGGAGTGAGCTGACACAAGCATTCATGCCAGCTTCAAGCTTGAGCTGGTAACAGTTATTCCTGGCAGAACAAAGCAAAAGCATTTTTTTCTGACTTGAACATGAATTCAGCTGGTCATATCCTGCTTGAAAATGATGCTGCTGGGACTTCCGGTTAAAGGAGCATATTGAATGCATTCATTACATACTGCTCTCTCCTTAAACCTCACAAAATGCAGAGCAAAAATATTTTAAAAATCTATAAAGACAAAGACATAAATCTATAAAGACAATGAGATGGGACAGGAGACAAAAGCAAGTGAATTTTGGTAGCTGGAAAGCAGATGGACAGATGGATTTAGCAGACTTGAGAAAGATGAATCCTAAGCCAGCAGTGGAGAAAGATGAGAAGTAACCTGACTCACCCTGTGGGCACCATATACTGCTGGAAGTTGGGGGTGAACATGGACCTAAAATCAGGGGGATGTGTTTAAGTCTGTTTAGAAAGTAGTTAGACTTCTAGATATCCTCCGCTACTCTGTTTAGGTAGACAGATACCCTTTCCCCTGTCTAGAAAAAAGAGTCATATTCTCTGGAAAGCACAAAAACAGGTCTTTAGAGTGGGAAACACAGGGTACAGTTAATGGGGGGAGGAGGTGTTTCGTACTCAAAAACAGGTGGATTAAATGAAAGTTTCCATACAGAATATTTCCCCACTGGGCTCTCAGAACACTGGTACTCAAACTTATTTCCTCCAGGCAGGATACTGGAAAGAAACTTCTGTGGCCAAAGAGAAGGTACCTAAAGATTCTGACATTGGCTTCACTGCTTTCCTAAAGATAAGGCCATGCTAGATCACCTTACAGTGAAGCCTGTAAATAAAGAGCCCTAGTGCTCAGAACTTCCCAATAGCTATTGAGTTCCCTTCTGTTAAATCTGAGCACACGTCTAAGGATCACCAGGGAGTTGCAAAGAACAGGTTAACAGGAAAGACAGACGCCAAACCCAAAGAAATAAAAGAGCATTTTAGAGGAGAGACTATGCTGAGAAAAGAAAATATAAAATGAAACAATGCCTATCATTAATAGCCTGAGAAATAAGACATTGCCTTATAAAAACGATAGGACTCTGGAAGAGAAATATTCAGAGAATAAAACAGAGCATTGGAAATTAAAAATATTTTATCAAAGCCCTGGCTGGATAGCGCAGTTGGTTAGAGTGTTGTCCTGATACACCAAGGTTGCAGGTTTGATCCCTGGTCAAGGCACATACAAGACTTAACAGCACCAATAACCTCTCTCCCCTCCCCCCTCTCTCTTCCTTCCTCTCTCTCTCTAAAAAAATACATGTTATCAAAGTCTGAAAGACATAATAGAAAGCTTAGAAAATAAAGTTGGGGAAATTTAAAAGGACACAGGGATGGAAAGGAGTAGAGGGAGGGGGAAAAAGGAAAAATAAAGGGCTGGTCTCTGAGGTTCAACATCTGAATAAGAGTTCTTGTAGGGAGAATGGAGAAAAGGGAGGGAAGGAAACAAAGAAATAATTTAAGAAAATGTCCCCTAATTGAAGGTGCCTTCCATATTGAAAGGGCTTGCCAAGTGTGCAACACAACGGACAATAGAGCCACGCAAAGGCACATAATAGTGAAATTTTAGAATACTGAATTTAAAAAGAAAACTTAAAACCTTAGAGAACAGAAAAAATAGGTTTTATACAAAACTTCTGCAATCAGACCAAAAGCTAGAAGACAGTGAGGTCTGAAGGAAAATTATTTCAATGGTGAATTCCATACTTATCCAAATCCTTAAATAAATGTTAAGTAGAATAACTAGAACAAATCTTTAGACATTCAATGTATCCAAAAGTTAGCTCCCCAGTATCCTCTCAGGAAGCTGCCAGAGAAAAGGCTTCCCCAAATGAGAGACTAACCCAAGAAAAAGAAAGACATGGGATAAAAAAAAGGAGAAATCTAATATTGGAGAGTGGCATGAAGAGTTCTCAATATGGTGGTGAAAGGAGATCTTAGGGTGACAGCTGCTCACCAGACACAGAGGCAGCCAGTAACCAGTCTAGATTGGAGGAGGTCAGAGGGCTCCATGAGAAGTGTCTTTAAGAAGGTGCAGTTGAAACAATAGTAATGTTATCTGATTGTATTGAGAGAAAATTGATACAACTGGAGAATAGCTGAATATCCTATAGGACCACTGTTCTTTGGAATGCACTTTGGGTACTGTTTAAGTATCCAGAGCATATTTCAATATAAAAAATAATCCTCCTTTTTGGGAAGTTCTACCTTATGCCTTAATCAGTCTTTCTGATAGTCCACATATATTTACATCCATGTGAGGAAATGCATGCACATGATAAAAGTTGATGGAAACCATAGAAATAATTGGGCTGTCTAGACAATCATTTCTTGACCACTGACTAGTAATCCAATAGTAATGGGGAGAGCATCTAAATCCTTAGGTAATACAAACAATATTCCCTTATCCTCATGAGTAGTTTTATCTTTCCCCCTCTGATAAAGATCAAACAAAATGTGGCTTATGAATTGCAAATAATTATCTTTCCATTGCTTTATTACCTTTGCTTGCCATACAGGAACCAATGGGCAGGAGAATGATGAAGAGGCAGGAAAGGAGAAAGTGAAGTAAGAAATCTATGGTTGAAACTAAGAGATACTAGCTGAGTTTTAAGTAGGTGTTAAGATGGTCATACTTAGCATTAGCAAAAAGTTGGTCTCAGTTACTGTTTAACTATGACAATAAAGCCTTTTGGAAATTTTGACTATAGCTAGAACTGAGTATTAATATTTGCAAGAAAATAATGTTCTTCTAGGCAATGCCTCGTCTGGTTAAATGGACCCTAGATAACTGAGAATTGAGTGCACCTTGCGTAGTGTGGAATGTTGAAGGCTCTGATCTGGATAAAGTTTTCCTAAAGTTCTGGGAATGAAATCCCTCTGGGGTTTCCTTCTCAAGCTTCTTCCATGCATATTTACCTCTCCTAATGAACCATTCACTAGGACAATATGTTCTTGCAAACGTGTGTCCTCATTTCTAGTTATAGCCAACATTTCTACAGTTATCATAGTTATACAGTAATTGGGAATAACGTTTTGTTTACACCTCATCAGAACTCAGCTAGCATCTTTTCATCTCAACCATTGATTTCTTACCTTCCAGGTCCAGCAGTGCCCTGAATCTACGGAGTGCAATGTGGTTGGCGATCTGGTGGGTGAAGGAGCATGGAAAATGAAAACTTTATGGAGGCTTTAATTCTCCAAATAAAACTAAGTGCCTGTTCCACGAATCATTACACAGATCAGAAACCCGACCCTGTCCCATTGGAACAGTCCAAGTAGAAGAGAAGCTTTCAAAAGCTCCTCGAGAGATTTTCTGGGTGTAGTTGGCAGGTCTGTGGAAGGTATGCTCTACTTGGTCTTGAGCAATAGTACAGGGAAAGATTAAAATTCAGGGTGATGTTAAAGTCCAGGGCCCAGTCCTGATGTAAGTAAGGATGGGAGACCAAAATGAGGTGTGACAATGAGGCTGGGCTTGGAGACAGAAAACCTCAGTTGCTATGTTGATTCTGTCTTTTCCTAGCATTGTGACCTTGGTCAAGTAACTTAGCCTCAGTGGTAATTGCCAAAATGAGGATGGAAAAGAGATATTGGATGTGAAATTGCATGTAAACTTTATTGGAAGTATACACAAAGGTTTACTATTTTTGTTGTTGCTATAAATGGTTGTGCTTCCTCAAGGATGCTCACAGAGTTTGCTTCAGAGGTGAAACTTTTTAGGGTGAATATCCTCAAGACCCAGCACACTGAGGAGGTTTGCAAAGGGACAGTTCAAAGGGAAGGGAACTAATGGCAGCTGCTGTTTTTCTTGTGCTTGTTTTCAAACTATTCTTATAAAGAGAGGGTGAGAGAGAAAGGGAGGAAGGAGAGGGAAATCTTTTCTGAAGGGTTAAAGCAAGATAGTGCTGTAAAGTGATTCCAGATGTACAAATATTAATATCTCTCTCTCCCTGATGAATGAGAAGGTATGACCCAGTTAGGAAACTGCTAAAATTACCGGCGCCACCGAGACCTCAGCCGATGGCCCAGTGCAGATTTTTATCCTTACCTCGGCAACTATAATGCTGATGAAGGGCTCGGACCTGCTGCAGCAGACCTTCCAAAACTTCACTCTGTCCCTTGTGTCTGGGCTCTCTGTCGTCATAGTCTTTCCAGTCTATTGAACAAAAGAAACAAACAGAGTGAAATTTTAAAGCAGGGGAGGCCTCTCCCCAGCCCTGCCTTGGGAGCCGAGTTTTGCTCATGCTGCCCACAGACTCTGTGGATAAGCACCCAGCATTTGCACAGCTAGCAAGCAGTGCCAAGGGTTTGGAGGCTGCCATTGTTCAGGGCCCTGTGCAAAACAGTAATTGTGGTTGGTTTCTCATGTTGGGCAGTTTTAGGGCAAAAGAAAATGGTAATGGAAAGCCAAAAGAAAATGGGGAATTGGGGAGTCCAATTTCCCCTCCCCCAGCTCCTTATTCTCCTTTCAGCACCCAGTGTCCTAATCAGTTCCCCTGCCATCTCTCCACTTAGCACCCCAGGTCTCAACTGGATTTCCACAGTAGGAAAGAAGGGGGTGTGGGAATGTGCAGACTAGATGAAATCTACAGTCCCAATGCTTTTATTGTAGGTTTCACACTTTTGGCCAAATTGACATTTCTTTCCAAGGAAAGAGCCCATGTCAGATGCCAAGAAATGGAAATCTACATTTTGCTCTAATGAATGTCTGCTTTGGTTAGCTGGCACGGCAACTCCTGCACATACTCTGAGCCACCAACCACCCTGTCTGCTCAGTCTCTAAATATACAGTATTAGCTTACATGGCAAATTTAAATTGCAATACCCACTGAGATTTTTCTCTCCCTTCTATTTTCATTCCATTTGGCAATAATGATATCAAGAGTAATAACCCGTATGGGACTAATGTCAAGTCTGTAATTCTGCTGTCTCCAACTCTGGATTTTTTTTTTTTTAGCAGGTCAGTCAGTCATTTCATAGTCCATCCCTTCTTCTCTCTGTTTTCCTTCCCCCAGTTTTACTTTCTGAACCTTTCAGAAGCAAACAATTGAAGGTGCTTCTTAGTTAAAATGCTTTTTCTAAAAATGCTAGACTTTTTTTTTCCTCCTAGAAAAGTCAGTTTGTTCATAAGTATATTGGAGGCTTAAATTCTAGTTGAATGATTTTCAAATTCCCTCCCCCTAGTTTTATTTTAAAATATGGAATCTCCCTTGTTTAGGTGCCATGACAGTTAAAGTTAGGTAAAGGTCTTCTACACTGGTCCATCCAAGGCCAAGTAGTACAGCACATTTAGAAAGACACAGGTCCTGGAGACAGATAAACTTGGATGTGAATCCTGGCCCTTCTGATTCCTAGCTTAGTGACTATAACTGAAGTAAGTTACTTACACTCACAGGGTCTCTACTCTGTAACATGAGAAAGGAGCATAGTGTCTACCTTGAAGTATTTTGTGAGGATTAAATGAGAGGACTATGAGGTATCCAGCGCGATGTTACATAGAAGGCATTGTGTAAGTAATAACTTAAAAAGAAGGGTATTTATTGGTGGGGTGTTAACTCCCTGAGTAGCAAGTATGTAAACATTCTTACCTTATCAGATGATCCCCTATGAAGAAGAGGCCCCAGATATATCCTAATCCTTCCTCTTTCCCACCCTCTCCCATGTACCCTTCTCCATTTTAGCTCTCACAAGACCGAGGCCAACAGAAACCCATTCCAGTTCTACATTACTCAACTGGTTGGTGGCATGGCCAGGACTGTCACATAGTCTTATGACCCTCCCTAATATGCTCATTTCCTTATACCATGGACATGTTTGTTTTTTCTTTTGGGAAGGAGGGTCAGAGCTTGGTTGGCATCTGTGTGGTGTGGGTTAGTTGTGGTCAACTCTGGAGACAGGGAATTGGCATAGGTGCCTTCTGTAGACTCTGTTCCTTGTGGGCAGGAACTGTGACTTAATTTCTCTTTGTCTCAGGTTTCTCCTCTGTAAAGTGAGTTTTTGAGTCTCTTTAGGTTATCTGAGATTTCAAAGAAGTAATGAAAGAGATTGGTTCCCTTATTATCTTTGGGCACATAGGAGACACTCATTAAATGTTGGTGAGGCATTGTGAGTAGCTGTGTGAAGGTGTTCAGGTAGGATGGACTAGGAAAGGGCTGTTTTTGGGAAATTTGGAAATGTTTGAGGACATTAACTCCAAGTACTATTTGTAGTGTCCCTGTTGTCTGGGCACAGTGAGAATAAACATTATTTTCATGGATTTCCAAAGGTCATTATGAGTTTGTTCCCCTAGCTGGATAAATGTATCTGAAATCCTTATGATAAGATGAGCAACATAGTTTGCTTGAGTAGGACTCCTGGGTGGCTGAATTACTGCCTGGCCCTGAACATGCTAATATATTCTAATGAGTGTTAATACTGCTGTCAATGCAAGGGGAGATGAAATGGACCTGGCTCTTTCAGCCGAGTCCTATTACATCAGAGGCGAGCTTGAGCTGATGACTTTATGATACATTAGAAAATTGCTAATGCTAAATTGCAGCCTGAGTGAATGCCGGACATGATGCCAAGGTTTTTGGAAAGAATGAGTTTTCCTCATAGATGTTTGGAAGGTTCTGACGACTACATAAAATAGGAGACTTTAGGGATGAGGGAGAAAATTGAAAATATATTAAGAAATCAGGAACCTGACAGGAATAAACTTGGTGTGGTAAGAAAAGAGCAGATTGTGCCACATAATACAGTTCACTGTTCTGGTAATGAGACACTTCAATTGCAACACAATGCAGAGCTTACATTCGCTGGCGATATCAGGGCTTTCCTGATCGTAACTCAGACAAGCCTGTCTGGGTCCTTTTCTCTTATTATGTACCCTACCATATAACATAAGTCTATAAAAACACATTAAGGCCTTTTGTAAAAATATAAAAAAAGTTTTATAGCTTACTGGAACATATTACCCAATTTCCAATTACTCTGTCATGTTAGAATACATTGTCTTCTGGTAAATATTTGAGTAATGATACATGTTACATCACAATGTCATACTCTGTTTGTAAATAGAACCAGAGTGTTTTTATATTGTTCTTTCCAAGTGATATGGCATGTCTGCAGCAACTGTAATGACATGTTTGCATTTTAGCTCTTTGCCAGATACCCCTACTAATCCATTGTGCTATTTTTGAAAGCACTGCCATTTTGCTATGTTAATTAGCAAGCAATAAGTGAATCTTCCAGTCTTGGACAACTGTTCTTGTCATTTTGGAGAGAGCTCTTCACATGAGCTGTGAGGAAGAGTGTCTGAATAAAATTTGTTTATAGAACCAGACATGTGATGTTTATATGTAAACGCATCCACATGCAGATCCGAATTTGCATGGGTTGTGCATTTGGAGTGGGTTTCCCACTGCCCTACCTTCAAGTGAGCTGAGGCTAGCTTGTTTTTTTTTTCTTTTCTGTCTCTTCTATCCCTCCATTTCCAATAATACATACCCATTTCCTTTTCTTCTTGGAAAGAGATTAGTTCCCTTATTATCTTTATCTTTCAATATTCCCAGTTTGTATTTCTGACAAGTCTTGAATAAGAAAGATGTCTAAATAAGACCGGAATACTTAAATCATTAAGTGCTAGGGGATTCAGGAGCCTTATAGAGTCTCTGGTATCAGTGATCTAAGGCTCTGTATGATCTGGATTAGCTGTCTGAATCCACCAGAGATGGGAGTCAGGAATGGTTGGCTGGTTCTTAGTTGGCTTGTCTGCCTGATAGTGGGGCACTAGTTACTCCTGGTCTAGATAGCGGGTCTTGAGCTGTTTGGGCGTGGATCCTGGCTTAGCCACATACCAGAGTTGTAACCTTGAGTAAGGCAACATCCTCTCTGAATCCCTATTTCCTTATTATTAGAGGAGATGGAGGGTTTGGACTGACTTCAGTGGTTGCTAGTTTGGTGATGTGGGGCTCTGTGTGTGTATGTGCCTCTCTATGTTAATAGTTCTCTCATCAGTAAAATGGGTCTAAGAATAAAATTCACCTCAGTAGGTTTGTTATAAAGATTAAAAGAGTTAACCCATGATAAATTCCTAGATTAACACACAGCATTTAATGAGTCTTATAGATGTTAGCTCTGATGCTGCTTATCCACAAGACGGAACAGTGGTGACTGATAGTTGTGAGGATTAAGTGAGATACTGAATGGGAAACCCCATAATATACCACCAATTTGTGATTGGTCCTGGGTAAAGAGTTATCATAATACTCAAAAAGTATATAAATATAAAAAGAAAACTCATAACTCAGATATCCACTATTAGATTTGGAGAGTTCTATGCAGACACACCTATCTAATTATAGTCAAACTCACAGTTTAAATGTTGTATAAAAATCTTGCATTTTTTACACAAAGCTTATACTGTAAGAATTTCTTCAACACAATGAATGTTTTGTAAAACACCATTTTGTTCTGTAGTATAGATACTATATGATACTTTATTTAACCATTAAGTTAATATAGAATACTTGTTCTCTCACCACACATGATATTTCACTATACCAATATGTTGCTGCACTGCACATCTTTGTCCATAATTGTTTGTCTGCATCTGTTTTCTTAGATTAAATTCCTAGATGTGTAATTATAGGTTAGAAAGAAATGAATGTTCTTATGGTAGTTGATATAGATGGCAAATTGTGTTCCAAAAAGGAAGTAGCAGTTTGCACTCACAGGAAGCATATTATACCATTTTTAACTATCACATTCGTGAAGATCCAAAAAACTACAATACCAGCAATAGGCTCATTATGCAGAAAAATATATTATATGATATGTTTGGAGATTGTTTTTTCTGGTTAACAAAGAGTTACCAGATATACCAGGGCATAAATGATTAAACTTCAAATAATTAGAGGAGGCTTTGCTGGGTTTTTCAGCCACCACAACAGATATTATCAGTTATATTTGTGGCAGAGTGCCTGTTTGTAAGAAAGTTTTTCTTCTGACGGAATGTAAGATTTGCTAGGTTCCTGTCACAAAAGGGGTGATAAGAGCTAAAATGGACTCTATGTATTTTGGGCCAGGCAGTGCCACGGAGTCGTTTCACTATATCCCCACAAAAGCCCTGGGTAAGGCTATGATCAGACCCATTCCATAGATGTTGAATTGAGACTCTGAGAGTTTAAGTAACCTTCGAAGGCTATACAGTTAATGGGCCCCAAATTTAGTCTTGCTGGTTACATATCTCCTTTCATTCCACTGAGTTGCTTCCCAGGGGAGCATTTCTGCAGATAAATCATTCATTATGTGGCGCAGATGCTGCCCTGAGTTAGTCCCCGGCAGTGGAGAGAGGGAATGAATGGCAATGGCATCCTGAGGATAGAGTGGGAGTTGGAGCCTGTTGCCAGGCTTGAGGGAGTTCACAACCACCACCTACTAGAAGGAGAGGCACATGTTGGCGTCGTGGTCTGAGCAGGTCCCCATCCTTTCATGTTATAAGCTGAGACTTGAACAAAGTACTGTTGGCCCTGCAAAGTATCAAAATAGAAGAATGCATCAGGAATTTTATTTAGTCACTGTTACCCTAGAAGTAGATTTTCTTGTCTGCTGAACTCCTTTATCACTTGAGAGCAAACTACTCCACCACCCATACTTTAGCTTTCTAGCTTTTCTTGACTATTATGTTTACATATGATAATACATATTTTGGGGGTGTCCTTTTGCTTTCTTTATGCTTTCTTCTTTCCCAAGAAATACAATATCATAAATTACTTTTTCTGGCCCCTCCAAAACACATTAACACCAATTTTTAAAATACACAGTTTTATAAGGTTTACCAAAAAAGAGTACTTTTTCACCCTCACCTTTCTCATCTTCCCCTCCCCCAGAGACAACCACCATCACCATTTTAGCGGATCAACTTGCTTTATAAAAGTAACAAGTTTTAATGAATATCTTTTCAGATTAGTCATTAAAGTTCTGCTTCATTCTTTTAGTGGCTGCATTGTACTTCTCTGTGGGGCAAATACAGCCATTTATTTAACTAATCCCTCACTGGTGCAAGTTTGGATTATTTTCACACGTTACGCCACAATAAACAATGCAACAATAAACATTCTCACCTCACCTATCAAAACTTCAAAAAAGTTAATTATTTGATATTACTTCCACTTTAAAACTGTTATTAAAACAATGATATATTCTTTAATGTCTTCTGGTATTATGAGTTAAGGAGTTATTTTTGTTTGCTTATAATCTTTTAAAATGTTTTGTATGGCTTTATGTTTTTGCTTTGAAGAGTTTGTTTTTTCCTGGTGAACTCAAAGGGGCATTTTAGAAGCCAGCATTTGATAAACCATTGATTGCAAAAATTGTAAAATGGTGTTTGTAGTTAAAAAAAAAAAGCAATCTCTGAAGAGCCTTTGCTAGGGGTTTAATAATATTGGACTTACTCTAATGTAAAAAAAATTTTTTAACATTAAAAATGGGTTTCTATAAAAATGGGTTTCTCTGTACCTCAAGGTTATGGAGACTCTGTAGAAGTGTAAATCTACTTCTCTTTTATGTGATTAGGATACTGTCTGCATTGTTCTCATTGGATGACCAAGTGGAAAAACTTAATTCCTATAAAAATTAGTTCAAATATTAGAGAAATTCTCTGTGGAGAGCTTTCCATTTTTATCACCATAACACTTTTTCTTTTCAAGCAATGGAAATTCCCTAGGGTTCTCTATGGCCCTCTTCCATCATGTGAGCTATAGGGTTGGGAATCATTCGTCTGCCGTCTGCCGATAGCATCTCTGGGGGCCACCCACTCGTGTTTGTTTTTTCTGGTAATCCACAGTTTTGGCCTCTGGTGTAGACGTGTGATTAGAACTAAAAGTCAGGATTCTGTGGTGGTGACCCAACCACCAAGCATTCTGTTAGAATGAGCTGGTTCATATTTGAAGAGATGTACCCTGGTGCACCTTCTTAATGCTGGGTTTCAGGATTGTACTTTACATAGAACTGTTTTAATTGACTAACAGAAAAACAACAACAATAACAAAATTCTCCCTCTACCTCTCACATGTGAAGGTCCTAAGGTATTATTTAAATTGTGCCGCTCTCCCCCCGCCAAAAAAAATTACAGGTTGGATTTAAGTTTACTTAAAAATGTTTTTTTCCCCATTATAAAAAAAGATTTCGGTGATCCAGTTTTGTTGCATTTTAATTATTAGAGGAAATATAGGGTTTGTTTCTGTCTGAACTGATTTGCTAGGTGTTTTTATATTTTGCATTTTGTATGCTTATATGGCTTATAGTTCTATAAATAATTAACATTTAAGTTTAGATTGGTTGAACAAATAAGCACAGTTTGTTCCAGTTTTTCATTCACAGTTTAAATTGGTTCAGGTTACTAAGAAATGTAGCGCCACCATATATAGCTTCTTTTTTGAGAGAGCAGATTTAGACAGATTTTTTTTTTTTTAAATCAAGGGAAAAGGATTTTTCTCAGGAAATTGTGTGACTCCAATTGATGACTGATCTCGACCAGGCTGTGGGGGTGAGGGATAGATGAGGCTGTTATTTTTACCATCAGACAGGGAGTCAAAATTGGATCTCTCGGAGCCTTTGATCCCCCCCTAAAGATTAGACTGAGATCCAGAAAGCAGCAGCTTTCAAGGCTTGTGTGAGGCCAGTCTTTTTCTGATCTCCGTAGAACATGGCAGCTTACAAAGTGGTTCATGCTGTCTGCTCACTCCGTTGTGGGGTTCAGATTATGGATACCAGACATATCACGCTTAACGAATGGCAGTTGTTGCCAGAGGACTGGGTGTTGCCTGTTGCTTCCAGAGTAAGGCATTTGCTACCAAAATCCCCGCACAAACATCAGGGGCAGGGGAATGGGAAGTTTAAGGGGGAAGATTTGGCATTTACCGTTGTAAGCCCTGTAATTGTGCATCTCAGCGTCTGTAGGTCCTCCATGATGATTTCTCCAGCCAAAGGGCAGAAGTCTTTAGACATACTCCATTCCACTGGGAGGGAGTGAAGGAGGGAAAGAGAGGCAGAAAGAGGCAGAGGGAGAGGAAGAGAGAATGGATGAAATTGTCATTAAGAAATAAAGACACTCTAGCACAGAATCTTCTCTCAAAAATAGTAAGTTTACCCTCTTTTTCCTATATTGACACATCTAACATTCTCCTCAACATAAGTCAGTTTCCAAATTCACAATTATATTTTTTAAAACAAGAGCAAAAAAAGTAATTATTCAACAATGACTAATATACCTTAAATACTTGTGTGTGTGCGTGTATAGACACACATTTTCTCAGGCACATTACATGTACAAGTTCACTGTATATAGAAGATGACGTATTTTATTATATGTGAGAGGCTTCATTATGACACTGCATTCTATTTATTCCCAAGTCTGGTTTCTGCCTCACTGTTCTACTGAAAATGCTATTTCAGGGTCCCAGTGACATTCTCATATTCGAAATAAAGAAGCCTCCTTTCATTTCCTCCCATAAAACCTGACACCTTCCCCTGGAATCATTCTCTTTCCTGAATGTCTCATACGCCATTCCCTGCTTTCCTTCTACTTCCTGACGTTATCTCCCATGATTTGGGATTTGTGGCTGACCTCTGCAGTGCTCCCCTCACACCTGGCATCCTCAAAGTGGGTGTTCATTCAAGGTTACATCTAACACCCAAATTCTAACACTCCATTTTGCTGTGAGACCACTGGTTGAAAAAACCATGATCAGGAAAGATAAATTTTGTATCATTGGTAAAAAGTGTCTTAAGGGACAGTTTACATATGGCAGGATTTAAGGCAATCCTAAATGAGTCACATGGGAGACAAGGCCTGCGTGTTTCTAAACCTCATGATGACAAGCTATAGACTTTAAGATTTAAATTACATTCTCTATGACACTTAAATACTTCAAAATTAAGCCAAGCTATTCCTAAATTCTGTTGCTTCCCCAGAGTCACAGATCTCTCTGCTTTAGTTACAGCCCCTCTACCTCTTTTCATTATTCTCCTGGGAGTCTGCCTTGCTTTCTCCACTCTCTCAAAATTGCTCTCCTAAAATTACTAGTGTTCTGACCATCCACAAAACCTCTTCTTAGGAAATTTTGCCACAATGGCCTCCCTTATTTTTTTACAACCTTCTTTCCCATTTGTTTTAGTTGCACACTCTCTTCTGCTTCTCCCTCCTGATTTCCACATTCCAGGCTCTCCCAGGGTTCCCCTTTTCTTCTTCCTTTGATGTGCTATTCCTTGGGGGTTTGGCTCTTCTATTTACTCCTCATACTTGCCACAGGTAATGACCTTAGTCACTGTTATGGCTCCAGCTGTGCCTCTTGAAACTATAATTCTAGGTATAACCTCTTTCTGGAGCTTTAATTTCCTCCTGTAAGTCTTCACTCCACTTGAGTATCTCTTAAGTACTTGCCAAGATATGTTTCTTCTCTTGTTTTCTCAATTTTAGCTCATGGTACTGACACATACCCAGTCCCCCAATCTCAAATCTCAGAGCGTCCTTACCTCCTCTTTTCCCCCTGATTCCTTACAATGAGTGAATTACTAAACCCAGTAGGTTCTAAGTTTTCCCTCTTCCCCTCACACTGAAATTACTGTGGAACAGGCCTTTATAATCATGATCATCAGCTCTGCAGTTGATTTTTTTATAAGCCTGATAGATCAACTGATTAGCTCTCCTAATTCATTTTTCTGTTCATCTTTTCATCCTCATATACAATCCTCTTACTATATAACCTGAATTATAGTTTTGAAATGCAGATCTATTTATTTCATTCCTCCACTTAAAATCTTTCATAGTGCTTTCAAAATAAAATGAATTTTTACCAAGGCATTCAAGGACTTTCATAATCTGGTTCCAACCTTACTCTCCTGTCTTCATCTTCTTCCATTTCCCAAAGCAAATTCCTTGTTATGTAAGTCCTGTTATCTGATTATTGTGTGTATTTTTCTGCCTCTGTGTCTTTTGCTCATCTTCCAACTTTTGCTTTGTGAAACCCTACTAATCGTTTAAGACCTGGCAAAGCCAACTCTTAATTCCTGTGCAATAATTAATTAAACACCTGTTTTTGTGCTCGTAGAGTTCTTTATTCATATAAAAACAAGGTTTATTAAACACATTATGCTTTATTGTGTCTCTTTTTCTTATTAGATCGTGAGAAACTTGAGAATAGGAAAAGTGTCACTTCTTTTCCTCTCTGGTATGTGGATCTGTGTATGCAGTACATAGATGGTGCCTACTAAATATTTTACACACACACACCTGGAATAGACTGCTTTTTTCCAACATGGAGATATTTTCTTCTTCTCTAGTCTCTTGCCCTTTGAAGCTTTCAGGCATATTGTAAAACCCAGTTAAAATCAAATGATTACAGTTATGTTAACTTTCAAATTGAGAGTTATAACTCTCTACCTCCTTATAAATATGTATTCTAAAACACACATATATATGTTTTTATATACGTTATATATATGTGTGTATAATTGTTTTCAAAATGTTTTATTCTGCTTATTAGGAGCTACTAGCTCTTGAAGAAGTCGTCTCTGAAAGTCAAATTGGAGTGGGTTTGTAATCAGAGAATAATCTTGAATAATATTTTAACTAAAGGAAAAAAAGAAATCATTGAGGGAGTTATCACAAACAAAACAGAATGAAAATTAGTAGCAAATGTATAAAGACATCTAGAAAGAACAAAGAAAATTCTAGAAACAAAAATATCCTTGATTGTCATTGAACATGCTTGATTGACTGATGTGGTGGAGCTCCAAGTTCAAGGCTGATAAGTAAGAGCTTCTGACTCCAAGCTAAGGATTCAGGGTAGCATCCCAAAGAAGAGTTAGGGATTAGGGGGAATGATACCAGATTATTTGGCAAGTGATTAATGAGAAGTTGCTCAAAGATACAATCTTTAAAATTTCTGAAGAAACACAATTTATTTTTGAATAAGAACTGTTTATGTGCTATTGAATATGTTTTACAGAGCATGTTCCAGGTGGAAAAGAGGGCCTGGCTTCTTGAAAATCAGAATAAAAACACAGAAGCAGGTTTGTCAGAATGTGCGTGTGGTCCTGCTTTTATAGTTAATAGAATGTTTTAAGCATTTAAGTCTAATTAGATCTTATAACACATATGGATTTCAAAGGGGGAAGGGACTAGGAAAAGAGAAGATTCACTTGGAAGGAAAAAAATTATCCATGTTGGAATGGCCAACCTATTCCTGGGATGACCAATAGTCCTTTTCTTCTATGTACTTTCCTGGGTTCGTGGACTCTTCTGACATGTAAAAAGGAGTTTCTGATAATTTAAGAACGAAGAGGGAACAGAGTAAGCAGGAGCCACTTTGAGAGCCAACTAGGAATTCTAAGAAGGCAAGTTAGCATGGTCTCTCTGGAAAGTTATGTGTAGGTCATTTAAAGACTTAATATTAAGGCCATGAGAAAATCACATATAAGCCTGCTCTAAATCCCTGAAGGGCTGGAGCCATGTATATGAAGTTTAAAGCTATATAAGACTTATAATTTTAAGATAAAGATCAGGCAACTGTTTCTATTTAGGTCTGGGAAATAGAAGCAGGGTTTAATCATGCAATGGCTCATAGCAGTTGAACATGAGCAAGAAAGGTACAGACAAAACCTAGGTGTTAGTATTTCTTAAAATTTGGCTCTGGCTCAAACTGTGATGTACTATATTTAAATCAAATAACTATGGATATTTTAAATGTGACACTGTTATTTTAACAAATACTTCATTTTTATCTAAGCTTTAGAAATGTAGAATCATTTGGGCAGGAGAGTTCTAGCTGAACATGACCATTTTCCTGATGGCAGCTATGTAAACCAAAGTTAACGCATTAAGCGCCAAGCCTGTTTTGTCTTCCTTTCCGTTTAGCCTGCGATATTCGATTTCACCGATATGTTGGTGGCCAGAGACTGACGAGGTCCAAACAGAAAGTATAGTGTCAGTCACCGGTGACTGACATGGTGCTTAACGTGTTAAAAAGCATAAGATGAAAAAGAACTGAAGATCTGGGCTTGTCACCTAAAGCCTATAATGTGAGGGGAAATGCCACAGACTCAATGAGAAAGGCAGAGAACTCAGAACTAGAAGTGTTAGGATGTACAAGCTGAGAACTTAGTCTAACGCACAGGTAAATAATCAGTCTCCTGTTGTAGACTGTGTGATTAATACACCCTGCTCTCTCTGGAACACTTTTAAGTTTCAGGCCAGTTTTTTGAGATGTGATAACTATGTATCCTAAAGGTGTAAAGAAATAACATTGCAATAATGTCCAGTTAATTTCATCTGATTAAAAAATAAACCCCAAACCTGTTATTGTCCAGGTTCTCCCTAAAGTCTCTAATGCCTCAAAGCCCAGAGTTGTTTTATCCTGTTTGCACACCGGGAGGAGTACCCAGTAAAAGTTATCCTCTCGCCTCTTGCCCAGGCCCCACCCACACCCCCCACTCCGGCCTCACCAGTCACTGGACCTCAGACCCATTGCTTATGCCGTTTTCTTTTTTTGTACGCTATACTCTGTCCCCAAATCATCTTCCTCTTCATTCAAACAGACCTGGTTCAAGGACATTTCCATTCGATAGCTTCTCCTGGGCTTCCAAGAGAAGCTCCTTTGCCAATTTTTCTGTCTTATATTTTCTGTCTTAGCAATTTTAATGTCTTATATTGCACTTGCGTTATTGTTTTGTATTTAATTTTTAAGACATCTGTCTCCTCTGTGGTCTATATACTCTTTGAGGGCAAGACCATGTCAAATTAATACCAGTATCCAAAGCACTTATTATAGCACCACAGGTGGCTCAGTAAATGCTGGGTAAATTGAATGCTTGATTCTGGACTTTCAAATATTTAAAGTCTAAAAGTAGACAGAACTCTGATGCTGGTACATAAAGAGTAAGAAAACAGTGTCAGAAAAAACGTAGTCAAAAGAGAGCAAAAGTTGCTTGAGCTGCCCAGTAAGTGGTTGAGATGGAG